GAGGCTCCCCGACGGCCCTGCGAGGGCTCAGCACAGACCACCCCCCACCCCCTGCGCAAGAGCAAGGGCCGTGCCCCCAGCCCCCGGGGCAGGAACGCGGCAGGCAGGCCGTACCGGACAGCAATAGATTTATTAAGTATTCCAAAAAAATAAAAATCGACACAAACCAGTAGAAAAGAAAACAGGGGGGGCCTGGACATTATCAAAGTCAGGAGGACGGGGGTCGGGACGGGGCGGGGGGGCTGCGCTAATTCATACAGGGACGAGGGGGTAGTAGATAGGGGCGACTTTGCTTTTGGAACCCTTAATCGTAGCGTCTAGACGGCGGCTGTCTGGGACTCGGCTAACGGGGGCGGCGGGGGGCGCGGGCGGCTTCACTTGGCGCCCTGGGCTTCGGACTCCTCCTCGTCGTCCTCGTACATCTCGCCCTCCTCCTCGGCCGTGGCGTCCTGGTACTGCTGGTACTCGGAGACCAGGTCGTTCATGTTGCTCTCGGCCTCCGTGAACTCCATCTCGTCCATGCCCTCGCCCGTGTACCAGTGCAGGAAGGCCTTGCGGCGGAACATGGCCGTGAACTGCTCCGAGATGCGCTTGAAGAGCTCCTGGATGGCCGTGCTGTTGCCGATGAAGGTGGAGGACATCTTGAGCCCCCGGGGCGGGATGTCGCACACGGCCACCTTGACGTTGTTGGGGATCCACTCCACAAAATAGCTGCTGTTCTTGCTCTGGATGGCCAGCATCTGCTCGTCCACCTCCTTCATGGACATGCGGCCGCGGAAGACGGTGGCCACGGTGAGGTAGCGCCCGTGCCGCGGGTCGCAGGCCGCCATCATGTTCTTGGCGTCGAACATCTGCTGGGTGAGCTCGGGCACTGTGAGGGCGCGGTACTGCTGGCTCCCGCGGGCCGTGAGCGGGGCGAAGCCGGGCATGAAGAAGTGGAGCCGGGGGAAGGGCACCATGTTGACGGCCAGCTTGCGCAGGTCGGCGTTGAGCTGCCCGGGGAAGCGCAGGGAGGTGGTGACCCCGCTCATGGTGGCCGAGACCAGGTGGTTGAGGTCGCCGTAGGTGGGGGTGGCCAGCTTGAGCGTGCGGAAGCAGATGTCGTACAGGGCCTCGTTGTCGATGCAGTAGGTCTCGTCCGTGTTCTCCACCAGCTGGTGGATGGAGAGCGTGGCGTTGTAGGGCTCCACCACCGTGTCCGACACCTTGGGCGAGGGCACCACGCTGAAGGTGTTCATGATGCGGTCGGGGTACTCCTCCCGCACCTTGCTGATGAGCAGGGTGCCCATGCCCGAGCCCGTGCCGCCGCCCAGCGAGTGGGTCAGCTGGAAGCCCTGCAGGCAGTCACAGTTCTCGCACTCCTTCCTCACCACGTCCAGGACCGAGTCCACCAGCTCGGCCCCCTCTGTGTAGTGCCCCTTGGCCCAGTTGTTCCCAGCACCGCTCTGACCTGTGTGGGGGGAAGCACAGCGATGACCCTCAGCCCCCGGACACCAGCTGTGCCCAGAGCAGGGCCTGCGCTGCCCGGGCACGGAGCTGCCCTGGACACGCAGCTCCCTGGGGGGCAGGAGCAGGGATCCCAGCAGCTGAGGGTGGGGGGGAGACCGAGTGGGCAAGCGGGGATTGGGGGCAGAGCCAGCACAGGTGTCAAGCTGAGCTCATCTGGCCAGCCCCAGGGGATGGGGGGACCGCCTGGGCGAGCAGGGCCATGGAGGGGCCTGGGAAATACCGAAGATGAAGTTGTCGGGTCTGAAGAGGTGTCCGAAGGCCCCCGAGCGGACGCTGTCCATGGTGCCAGGCTCCAGGTCCACCAGGATGGCACGTGGCACGTACTTGTGAGCTGCAAGACACGAGGCCGGTGCAGGGGGTTGGCAGAGCTCGCTCCCCCCATGCTGCCTCCACCCCCAGCTGGGATGGCAGCATCATCCTCGGGGCAGGTCCTGGGAGCGAGCTCCAGGCTCCTCCTCCGAGCCTCTCCCCCCTTGTACTGCCCCTGCTCCCGGAGGGGCCCAGGCAGCGGTGACCTGTGCCAAGCCCTGCTGGAGGCGGCCTGGAGGTCTCCGTGCCCCATCCCCACAGGGCTCCCAGCAGCCGTGCCAAGAAGGGAACCCGGGAGTCCTGGGTCCCAGCCCAGTGCTCTGTCCAGAAGCACAGCACAGCGCCAGGGCTGTGCCCGCGGGGGTGGGCGGGGAAGGGGCATGACGCGGGACTTACAAGAGGCCTCATTGTAGTAGACGCTGATCCTCTCCAGCTGCAGGTCTGAGTCGCCCACATAGTTGCCGCTGGGGTCTATGCCATGCTCATCGCTGATCACCTCCCAGAACTAGGGCACAGCATGGGGCTGTCAGGAGGCTCCAGCCCCCGGATATTGGGGGCCGCAGCCCGAGTCCCAGCTGGCACGTGGGGAAGGGGCTCTGGGGGCCAGGGCGTGGGCAGAGCCGGTGCAGCAGGGCCTCTCCCCTGGGCATCGGGGCAGCGTGGCCAGGGTGAAGCCAGGCCCCGGGGCCCTCCCTGGCACAGCAGGCGCCATCTGCTCTCCTCCCCAGCCAGCGTCTCACGGCCTGCACCCCCAAAGCTTCATGCCCAGGGGGCAGAGAAGGGAGGCCGGGCACCAGGCATAGGGCACACACCTCCCCTGGAGAGGGGGAGAGGCCAGGAGACAGGGCCATCGTGAGAGTCCAGCCCCGGCGGCTGCGAGCACAAGGGGCCCTGAGCTTGCCATGTTCACACCCCTCCTCCACAGGGAAACTGAGGCAGGAGAGGGGCAGGGCCTAGCCCAGGCACTGGGCCGGGCGAGGCGGGACGTTCGGGGCCGAGCGGTCGGGGGCTGGCGAGGCTGGCAGGAGCCGGCCGGGCTGGAGCTGGCCGCGGTGCTGGAGCTGCAGGGGCTCTGCCAGCCCCAGCGCAGGGCAGGGCCCCGCAGCCCGGCTGAGCCTGGCCTGGCAGTGCAGCAAGGGCGCTGGGCCCGGGGCCAGGCTCCTGGCATCCAGCTGCCTTGCTGCAAGGCCCAGGGGACGAGCCCCAGCCGGGCAAGGCCGGACGCCCTCGGCCGCGTCCTGGGACAGCGCAGACGCTGCGGCTGGCACGGCAGGGGGATGGGAGCGCGGCTGCTGGACTGCTGATTCAGGGCCCTCCTCTGCAGGCCCGGGGGGGCCAAGCCAGGGCTGCGGGAAGGGCCAAGCACCAGCTGCAAGGACAGAAGGACAAAGGGAGCCGCGGCAAGGGCAGGGGCCGGAGCGGAGAGCCCGGGGGAGGAGGGCAGCGGAGGGGCGCCGGGCTGGCTTGCACCCGGGGACAGACGGCTGCGCCCGCATCTCTCGGGCCTGTCAATCAGGGGGGCTAGGAGCGGCTCATGAATTATTCATGCTCATTAGCATAGAAATGAGTCTCCTCAGGTAGCCGGGCACAGACCCCTGGAACAATGGCTGGGGGCTGAGTGACAGCCCGCAGCAGCCCCAGGGGGTCAGGACCCCTCCACCTCCCCCCACCCCCGTCCTGCCCCTGGCCCCAGGGCTGGGGGGGCAGAATCAGCCCCTTAGCTCCGGGGGGAGCGCCCCAGCCCTGCCCCACCCCACCCTGCAGCCCCGGTGGGGCTTGCA